CTAATGATATGCTATCCACTTTAGCAAACAGTGAAAAAGCAGCTGAGAAATGGGTTTCTAAGAATGTCTCTGTTCATATTTCCGACAACAATGTGAACATCAGGTGAGTTTTCCTTATTTTCCTCGCTTTTTTTCTTGCTTTCATGGCTTGTTTTGATCTGTAGAGCTGCTTTCTTGTGTGTTGATTATGAAAATTTAGGCCTTATCTTTAATGATTGAGATGATTTTCACTGTGATTTGGTGCTTTCTTTGCTATGTTCTTCAGTTTTGTAAAGAGAATTTCATGTTTTTGAAGGGTTTAGTGTTGGATTTGGAGGGGAATTGTTTACTTTATTCACTTACATTCTAAAACAAGGTAGTTTGCATGTGTCACTTTTTGAGGTAATGATGGGGAAGACAAAGGGTAGAATGAAGTGGACAATGGGAATAAATAAAGTGGCACCTATATAACATGTCTTCTTTTTAAAGTGACCTATCCAATATTTTTTTATAGGTTAATGGGGTAGAGAATCCAATATTTTTCGTTCGGGATTCTCCTCAAGGTTTTTAAACGCGTCTATTAGGGAGAGGTTTTCATACTCTTATAAAGAATGTTTCATTCTCCCCTCCAACTGATATGGGATCTTACAATCCACCTCCCTTTGGGGCTAGGGCACTTCAAGGTTTTTAAAATGCGTCTCTTAAGGGAGAGTTCTCTGCACCCTTATAAGGAATGTTTCGTTCTCCTCCCCAACCGATGTGGGACCTCACAATCCACCCCCCTTTGGGGCCAGGGTTCTTCAAGGATTTTAAAACGCGTTTCTGAGGGAGAGTTCTTCACACCCTTCTAAGGAATGTTTTGTTCTCCTCCCTAACCGATGTGGGATCTCATAATCCACCCCCCTTTGGGGCCCAGCGTCCTTGCTGACATTGGTTCCTTTCTCTAATAGATGGGATACCTCAATCCACTCCCTCTTTGGGGTCCAGTGTCCTTGCTGGCACACTGCCTCGTGTCCACCCCCTTCGGAGCTCAGCCTCTTCGTTGACACATCGCCTGGTGTTTGGCTCCGATACCATTTGTAACAGCCCAAGCCTACTGCTAGCAGATATTGTCCTCTTTGAGCTTTTCCTTTCGAACTTCTCCTCAAGGTTTTTAAAATGCGTTGCTAGGGAGAAGTTTCCACACCCTTAAAAAGAATGTTTCGCTCTCCTCCTCATCGATGTCGTTCCCCTCTCCAATCGATGTGGGATCTCAAGTTTGAAGAACTGCCCTCGAAATCTGTAGTTATTCTACTGCATTTACCATCTTTTATCTGTCAGTTTCCTAGAATTGGGTTCTTGAATGATCCGGTAGGTAAGGACCTTACCACTGTTTCTCCAGAGAAAGCACATAGAACTCCACAATTCTGCTGTTCAGCTTGGGGCAGAGGAGGTGACAATCTTGTTCTTTCCTAACATTTGGAGTCAGTTTACACTACAACAGGGCCATGATCAGCTCTGCACTTGCACAGTTTAAAGCTTTATTCATGTGATGGGATTCTATACACTTTTGGATTAGATTAAGTGGAAGGGGTTCTCTTCCAATGAATTTCATGTTTCTCTCGAGTTTCGGTGGCCTTTTTGTAATTATCCCTTCTGTGAGATCCCGCGTCGGTTGGGGAGGAGAATGAAGCATTCTTTATAAGGGTGCAGAAACATCTTCCTAGCAAACACGTTTTAAAAACTTTGAGGGGAAGCCCAAAAGAGAAAACCCAAAGAGGACAATATCAGCTAGCGGTGGGCTTGAGCTGTTACACCTTCGGTCTTATTTTGCTTGATTAGAGGCCGATCGAGTAGTGTGCCTCCTCCTTTCGTGGGTTCTCTTTTTGTATGCCCCTTTCTTTTATTTTTTTTAAAACTAGGGTTGGAGGGGCCTGGTTTACGGGTGTAGCTTGAGACTACTCTGGTAACAGTCCAAGCCTGAGACTAGCAGATATTGTTCTCTTTGGTCTTCCCCTCAAGGTTTGTAAAACACGTCTTCTAAGGCGAGGTTTCCACACCCTTATAAAGAATGTTTTGTTTTCCTCCCAACCGATGTGGGATCTCACAATCCACTCCCATGGGAGCCCAACAACTGGTGTCTAGCTCTGATACCATTTGTAACAGTGGACTTGGGCCGTTACAACTCCCTCATTTCCATCGGTGATTGTTCGTAAAAATTTTAACCAAAGGCAGAAATCTTCCAATTCTTAAGCTGACTAAGTGGGAAAGTACCTGTTTAAATTGTAATGCATCCCTTGATTTCTTTTCAAGTCACCATGTTAATTATGAACTTTCAGGTATGTTGCTGTAGGGAATGAGCCTTTCTTGTCCACTTACAATGGCAGCTTTCTTAGTACAACCTTTCCTGCTCTGCAGAACATCCAGAGAGCCTTACTAAAAGCTAATCTAGGAAACCAAGTAAAGGTAACCGTTCCGCTAAACGCCGATGTCTACGAAAGCTCAACTACGTTTCCATCGGGCGGCAACTTCCGAGCTGATATACACGATTTGATGCTCGCCATTGTCAAGTTTTTGAGCGATACCGGTTCTCCATTCACCGTGAACATTTACCCCTTCATCAGTCTTTATTCCACCCCCAACTTCCCTGTTGAATATGCTTTCTTTGATGGCAATGCATCACCCTTAGTCGATGGCCAGACATCGTATTTCAACATGTTCGATGCAAATTACGACACCCTTGTGTGGGCGCTTCAAAAGAATGGCTTTGGAAACTTACCGATCATAGTCGGGGAGATCGGTTGGCCAACAGACGGGGATCGGAATGCCAACCCCATCTACGCTCAACGGTTCAATCAAGGCTTCATGTCACACATATTAGGTGGGAAAGGAACACCAATGAGGCCAGGTCCAATTGATGCCTACTTATTCAGTCTTATTGATGAAGACTCAAAGAGCATTGATCCAGGAAACTTCGAACGTCATTGGGGCGTATTCTACTACGACGGTCAACCAAAATATCAGCTCAGCCTTGGAAATTCGAACAATGGATCATTGGTCGGAGCCAAAGGCGTGCGGTATTTGAAACGAAAATGGTGTGTGATGAAGCCATCTGCTCACCTTGAAGATTCACAGGTTGCGCCGAGTGTTAGCTATGCGTGTTACCATGCTGATTGCACCAGCCTTGGTTATGGGACGTCTTGTTCGGGGTTAGACGCTCGGTCGAACATCTCGTATGCGTTTAACAGTTATTACCAGAGGAGCAATCAGGCAGAGGATGCCTGCAAGTTTTCAGGGTTGTCAACAGTGACCAATAGTGATCCAAGCTTTGGGAGTTGTAGGTTTGACATAATGATAGAGGCAAATATGGGAGGGGCAGAAGGAAGGTCAGGGTGCCGTTTCAAAAGGCTTTTGGCGTTGGTTTCTGGGTTTGTTCTTGTTTTATTGACAATTCTGTGAATGTTTTAAGGTAATTTACTTGTATGTCTTTGTCTCCTTTTTAAGGTGTCTTTTGATGTGTAGAATTGAATCAGTAATTATATCAATTTAGATTTTAAATTTTAAATTTTTATAAACTTATCGTCAATTATGGAGGATTCAAATTGTGCGGTGACACGAATGAACTCACCACGGGGAAGATGTTAGAACTAATAAAATGCAACGAGTTCTCAGGTGGTATTTTAATCTGTCTAATAAAATTAACGTTCAAAAGGAAAAATAATCCATTCCTGTTCTCAAACTATTGGGACATTCCGAACATCCATATATCCCAGTTCAATAGAGGTATTGGGCCTCTTGTGCCCATGTCATATCATTTACGGACACCGTATCTGATATGTATGGGCTGGGGTGTAATACCGACACACCCGTGTCGTCCGGTACTACCTTTGAAAAATTTATTTCAAAGGAAGTCACCTGAGACACTCGTCTCGCAACGCTTGCCTTCACTATGACACACATGTGCTACATGGTAGCTCACTTAGGCCACATGTCCCAAGAGTGGTGGAGAGCTCACACCATGTCTCCACCTCAAGTACATTTAGAGGCATTTCTAAATTGCTAGGTATAGACATGATTTTGACAATCAGAAATACAGTGTCATGGAGCGTCTGTCTGATGTCCAATTAACACCAAATTTGGCGAACTTTCATATTTTATAGGGATGAACTTACTCTAGTTCCAGATTAAGGCCCAGGACCCTAACCCAACTCTTCAAAAAGCCTATTTGTGACGCTCATTTCTACTCGTTGTCCCTATCTTGCTTATGCCTCATTTCCTCTTCAATGCACACGTTATATAGTGTGTTGGATGATACATCGTTCTCCTCAGTCGCGTCATGACATTTTAATATATTGGCCCTTGTGTGACTCGATGATAACTTCTTTATTTGACTCGACGTGAGACTCTCTTTATAATATAGTTGTGACACCCCGCGTCTCTAATTATTGGCTACGTACTGTACCAAACACGATATATTTACATACCAAAAATGGAAATATTTGATGGTGAAATGTTGGTTGATTAACTCCTACCCCCAAACATTTGTCTCACAATAACAAACTTCCTTCTCATTCCTTTCCACATTTTTCTTTGAAAGACATTCTTTTCCATTTACCGAACAACTGTTGCCGTTCTTCCAGTTCACTTATTCCATTCATCAGACAAGAATTGTATATCAAACTTTAAGCCTTCTTTTACCCATAATTGAATGACCCCATTTTTGGAGCAACGTCGATATGTAACGTCCAATGGAGGAAATGCCGATGAATTCCTGTGTTAGAGAAAGAGAAATCGAGGCATAAACCAACAATCTCTCTCTTCAAAAACAGATACAGAGAGAGAGAGAAACAACAACAGCAACCAAAAAAACTAAACGTTTGTTGTTCTTTCTCTAAATTTCTTACCATTAATCATCTCATTTGCCGTTAGAATCGCGGATCCCTCTCTCCATTTCGTTTATTTTGCCAATTGATTTGTCGCTGTCAATACCTTTCCCTTTTTCCTTTCGTTGATCCTTCAAAGGGAAAGGTAAGGAGCTTCATTTTTGAATCTGCAAAAGAAACATTGTAGAAATTGATATCTAATAAGAATTTAGGACCTGGGTTTGGGTCCAAATCGTCTGAAAGTGGCCGCCATTATGGTCCTCCGGCAAGAACTTTTGGTGGGTTTCATCTTGTTATCATTTTGCTTACCTGGGTCCTGCAATTTGGTGTTTGAAGTGCAGCATAAGTTTAAGGGTCGAGAGAAGACACTGAATGAATTGAGGTCTCATGATGTTCGTCGCCATGGTAGGCTTCTCTCTATCGTTGATCTCGAACTGGGAGGCAACGGACAACCTGCTGAAACAGGGTTAGCCATTTCTCTCATCATATTCATCTTATTATGAACATATATTTCCTGTATTTTGATCTCAGATGAGATGGTTTTGGTGATAAATTTTGTTTGTGGGATGTGATCCTTTGGTCTCTTCAAGCTGGTTTCATGAAGACTTACATTGTTGTGTAATGGGGGAGATGGGGGCTGGTTCATGAGTTAGTATGAACATATTATATTTTTGATATAATATAATCGCTACCCCAAACTAATGACTAGCTACCCTAGGATGATATAACCATCACGAAAACGTGTTCGTATTGATATGAGTTTAGCTCAGCAATTAAGATACCTGTTTCTTATCCAATCACTCAACAGTTAATAAGATATCCACTTTATCGTACTAGGGACGAAGAGAAAAGAATTTTTCTCTCGAGACCATTGAGAACCTTTTTTTCAAAGATTAGAGATTAAACCGATAGATTTTCAAATCTAGGGACGAGATAGAAATCCGAACAAAAGGTTGTAGTTTATGTTTACCCCTCCCCTTATCTTTCCTGTTAACTGCTCTATGCACTTGGGATGTTAAATTGTTTGTTTTGTTAAATCATAAAGGTTATTCTTCGCCAGAATTGGCCTTGGAACTCCTCCAAACGATTACTATGTGCAAGTGGATACAGGGAGTGACGTTCTATGGGTGAACTGTATGGGCTGCAGCAATTGTCCTGAGAAAAGTGATATTGATGTATGTTCTTCAACACTGGAATTTGTGTAAATTGGTTGATTGAAAAATAACCTTTGATTGTTCACTTACAGGTGGAGTTGAGACTTTTTGATCCAAAGGGCTCTAGCACTGCGAAATTTATTACTTGTGATCAATCATCTTGCTCGGCCATGTACGGCGGTAGTACGATCCGGGATTGCAAACCAGATATGCTCTGCAGATATACAATTATCTATGGAGATGGAAGTGCAACAACTGGAGATTTTGTGAAGGATTATATTCATCTCCAACAAGTTGTTGGAAACCATCAAACTACTGTAACTAATGGCAGTATAGAATTTGGGTAATTCCTTGTCGTTTCCTTGGTTTTGATCTTCTAGTTTGCATAAAAGGTATACTTTAATTTTTGTGGTTTTTTGCATTTGGATAAACTTATGAACAATCTGACTTGTCTCAACTGATTAAGACATAAACTCTTGACCTCGACTGAGAGGGCGGTGGTTTGAGTCCCATACTTTAGCTCTTGAAATCCTTCCAACTCGAGAAATATAATGTGTCTAGCTTCATTTGGACTTAGCTATGGTTTTTGTTTTTTGATGGGCAGTTCCGAAATATGGCTTCTTATCTAATCCAATGGTTAATATACTCTTAATCTCCTTAAACTTGGAAAAGAGCTTAAGATCATACAAGTTCAATTAGCTATGCTGCTGCTTTTACTTCTTCATCTCAAGTTGACTTATGTGGTTTAGGTGTGCAACTAAGCAATCTGGGGAGCTTGGTACGGCGTCTGAGGCGCTCGATGGGATAATTGGTTTTGGACAGGCAAATTCATCTATCATTTCTCAGTTGGCTGCCTCTGGGAAGGTGAAGAAGATTTTTGCACACTGCTTGGATAGTGTATCAGGGGGTGGGATCTTTGCCATTGGAGATGTAGTGGAACCAACAGTGAAAACCACACCAGTGATACCTCATCAGTATGTGTATTCTAGCTCCAAATCTTATTTGTTGTAACCTGCTTACTTACCTCATTATCTATCATATTTTGCACCTCCTTTGACGAGTCTAGTTAAGATTCCAAAACTGATAGGAGTTCGATAAGTTGCTTTAAGAGGACGGTATGTTCGTACGAGTCCCTTCATTTCTCCATATGCAAGGTTCGTCATCTTTCTTTATAACATTCTTAACCGAGACTCAGGTTAAGCTCCATCTTAGAACCTTGTCGGGTTAAGAGTAAAGCATCCCGAGGTTGAGGCATCTCGTTGGGCGTGGAGAAACATTGGGAACCAAAATAGCTTTCTTTAGAGCCATTTCTTGTCCGTCCCCCGCGCCCCTGTTCACTGGTCCTCCTGACCTGAGCTCCCACTCCACGCTACCTCTAGCTGCTCCCCATTTCCCATATGTCTGCTACATCATGCCAAATCAACTAACACTTATCCAGTAACTATATTATGTCATCGTTCGGTTGTGTTTACTATTCGAAGTCGAAAAATCCTCGTCTTCCAAAATTGGCTTAGTTAACAACGTTTTTTTTCTCCTCTCTTAAGTTTGCTTCTTGTGGGATAAGAATTTAGCTGTCTTCTAAACATCTACAAATGTCAGGGTTCATTACAATGTTGTTCTGAATGGAGTTAAGGTAGGAGAGACCACTCTTGATCTTCCTGTTGGACTATTTGAAACTGAATATAGAAGAGAAGCAATCATTGACAGTGGCACAACACTGGCTTATCTTCCTGGGCACATTTACCACCCATTGATGCAGAAGGTATTAGTTTCAAATTTCAGCCCCTTTTTATGTAAGCTTTTTTGCACTCAAGTCCAAATTTATTTTTTCTAAACATGTATTTTGCAGATCTTGGGAGCCCAACCTGGCCTGAAACTACGTACAGTTGACCACCAGTTTACTTGTTTTAAGTATGATGAGAAGTAAGATGCTTTCCCTTATCCTTGTTTAGTATTTCTACATCTAATTGTATCATCTGATCTTTGAAGTATACAGTACTCTTTGTGTTGTAACAGTTCGATTTGGTTGATGTTAAATATTTTTCAATCAAATGCCTATTCTTTATGTTTTTTTGGTTTAGGAACCCCCACCTGACTGTGACCAAATCAAGAACTCTATCAGCCTAATAACTATGAGGAAAAAGGATTGTGATTTTTATACCATCCTTTTCATTTGGAGGATTGAGGTTTGAGAAAGAACATGACATTTGAAAAGAGAGATTTGATTGAAAAAAGTTTGAATGTGGTCCGGAAAAAATATTTGGTTGAAAATGTCGTAGGCAGTAGAGAAAAAGTATTGAATGAGATCGCTATAATGTGACTGTTTTCTAATAACAGTTTTTTTCTCGTACATCTAGCAATAAAAAACTTCTTGTTCGATTGTGACAACCTCTTCGAATAAATTTTCATAGAAACTTTTACTCAGTTTGTTTGTTGAAGGGAAAAATGTTGTCACTGTTTTCAACTGTTTGACTGTTTGGTTTGTACTGTTGCAGTGTGGACGATGGATTTCCATTAGTAACACTTCTCTTCGTGGAGTCCCTAACCTTGATAGTCTACCCACACGAGTATCTCTTTCAGATTCGTGTAAGTATTCTGCTTTTTGTTAACATTTTGACTGTCTATGTGATGTCCCACATTGGTTGGGGAGGAGAACAGAGCACTATTTATAAGGGTGTGGAAACCTTTCCCTAGCAGACGCGTTTTAAAGCCTTGAGGGGAAGCCCGAAAGGAAAAGCCCAAAGAGGACAATATTTGCTAGCAGTGAATCTGGGTCGTTACAGAGGATAGGATTTGTTCATCTTTTGGAAATCAACTCAAATTTTCATTCAATAACCATCAAAAGTTCAACAAAAGTAACTAAAAGAACAGTACTTGGTTGACTGCTAAGGAAGAGAAAGTCAAAGAATTCTAATTTCTCTAATCTCTCTTTGCTTTCGAAACTTTAATGAGCGTGTGAAGATGTGTAGCCAATTAGTTTTCAAAACAAGATGAGAATGTGAGTGTCACAAACATAAATTATAAAAACAAAAGAACTAAAATCAGAAGTACGAATTGAGAAGGTTTTTTTTATTGTTTGGGGTATGCAGGATGATATGTGGTGCGTTGGATGGCAGAATAGTGGGACTCAATCCAGAGATGGACGTGAGGTCACTCTCTTGGGAGGTATATTTCACAATGCTAAACTTCCATGTTCTATATATATATATATATATATATATATATATATATTCTTAGCTTGACTTCCTTTTAATGGCTTTGAATTGCAGATTTGGTTCTTCAAAACAAGTTGATTTACTACAATCTTGAAAATCAGACCCTTGGCTGGATTGAGTATAACTGTGAGTTTCTTCCAACTTAAAACTCATTTTCTTGTGGGTTTTAGACTAAATGACTTGAAAAACTGAATGAATCTCTAACCTAAACCATTCTTTTAATTTGTTTACTTTCCAACACCTTTTTGGAAACAAACCATTCCTTCTAATTATTTGAATGTAAAAATTAACTATTTTTCGTGATGGTAAGATTTATGAACAAACTAGTTGAATTGAATACTATACAGTTAGATTGAGTAACATAGTCGTTTATTGAATGACACATTATTTAAAAAAAAAAAACAGAAACAAAAAGCTACTTTTCTAATATGTTGATGTCTCGATATTGATATTTTATAAGATATTCTAACCATGGAGTGTTTTTTTTGGAGAGTATGATATCTTATCTGGCGAGAATGAAAAGAGTATTGATACATAATCAAACCATTTTCTTCTTCTTTTAGAGGTCGGAGAGGGAGTATTTGAACCTCCGACCTCTAAAAAGGGACCTTAATGTTTATGGTGTCTTATATTTGATGATGTTTAAGTTAATTTTCAATCCAAGTCTGAAGAAGTAAGAGTAAAATGGTGACCCACAGGCACTTCAGGGATTAAATTGAGAGAAGAAAAGTCAGGAAAAGTTTACACAGTGGGAGCCCACAGACTGTCTTCACCAGCATCTATTATAGAGATTGGCAGACTACTTCCATTGTTGTTAGCTTTTACCCTATTTTTTATCCAATAGCTTCTTTCTCTTCCTCTTTTGTTGTTTTCTTGAATATATTCATATGGGAATGGCAAGATAAATATATGTTTGTAAATGGCAATAATGGGATGATTGTAGTTTGCTTTAATGGTAATTTTGTATTCCTTCTTAAATGAAAGAGGTGTGATATGAACCACGATCAAGAAATTTCCATACCTCAAGGTCCAATTACAAGGATGAGAGCCAAGAAGCTACAACAAACCTTGTACACTTATATTCAAGCTCTGGTGAGCTCATCAAAGAAAATTCTAGAAGACGTTGAAGACCTTTGTGCAAAGTTGAGATTCAAGAAAGAGATGCATTAAAACGCACTTTAAGTAGCATTTAATGAACTCGAAACTAGCCCAAGGATGACTAATAAGCACATTTCATTCATTGCACTATTAGTCATGCTTGGACTAGTTCCATAAATTTAGCTGAGTTCAATAAATGCAACTTAAAATGCATTTTAATGCATCTCTTTCTTGAAGCTCAACTTTGTACAAGATATAAGTGAGGTCTCCAACGTCTTCTATAATTTCTTTTGATGAGCTCACCATAGCTTGAATATAAGTGTACAAGGTTTGTTGTAGCTTCTTGGCTCTCATCCTTGTAATTGGACCTTGAGGTATGGAAATTCCTTGGTCGTGATTCATATCAATGTGGTATACCTCACAGACAAACATTAACTGATTTAATGTTATATTATTAGTCGACAACAGGTAGAAGACACTAAATTAATATTTTTATCGCCATTCTCAAGAATTAAACTTGAGGTAAATTAGAAGCATTTTAACATTTTTGCCTTTTTTCGTTCTTAAAGATAATTAACCATTATAGTAACGGCATAATTACATATATTACACAACAATAACGAATAGTTTGACATTGACTTTGACTTAATAACAAATATACCAATTATAAACTATGACGTTTTAAGGGAGTGGATATAATACAGAACGTACGTACCTTAGTTTTGTTGCATTTACAGTGTTGCCTTCAAAAACTGTACAACAAAATAGATGATAGCTAGCAATAGTGCAAATTGGTATGCATCTCTTTGGAAGTTGTTCTCGCCTTCAAAGAACTACACACAAAAATTCAACAACGGGTATAGATTAAGCAAAAGTAGTCTAGTTATAAGCACTTTATGGAGGAAAATATTTAGTATTGGCTCGGTTCTATACTCGTAAAAGTGTTTTTGAAATAGGTTTTAGTTAAATACTTGAGAGAAAAAACACGATTCGGAAAAGACTACTCGTAATAGTAATAGTTTGCAATGCTATATTTTCGAAAGCTCAAAACAAGAAGCTGAGTAATAAAATTAGATTGGTGCAAATGGGAAGAACAATTAGCATATTTAAGAACACTGACCTTGCTAGGATCACCAGAAGGATCAGGGAACATCTCCAAGTTCTGTTTCTCAGTAGAGACTTGGCCGGTGAGGTTGCTGACAGAATCAGCCAAGTCTTTCCCTGCCTCCGTGGAGGCAAAGAGATAGCGGGAAGCCCAAAAGAAAGCTTGGGAAACGGCAGAGGAACTCGACACGTCCCAACGCTCTTCGTGCTCGATGACTTGCCCACTGATTTGGTTGAGAGTGAACTGTGAATCAACTTTGATGATCAGGTCTCCTCCTATGGCTGCAACCAAGGACTTGGGTTTCCCTTTGATTGTCCACTTGATGTTAAGTATGCTTGTTGATACCATCACCATTTCCTGCACACTCTGTTGTTACAAACAGTATGAGTTAAGTTTTCATTTAGTGATCGAAAAACGAAAAACGAAAAACGAACAAATTAACAGTTTAGTTGCCCTTTTCACTGCTCATCTCGAACATTAGTTGTCTCTAATAATTACAAACTCTTTTCCTAACATTTTTTAAGAAACTGAGCTTTCATTAAAAAAAAAAAAAACAAGCAGAAACAAATCCAACGAAAAAAAGAGTCACATAAATTACTCGAATCCGATAATCAAGATCAAGATCATGATTGAAAATAAGATAAAAATTGAAAAAATCAACTTAATTTTAAGAAATATAAAATGGTTATTGAAAAAATTTATTCTTTTAAAATAAAAAAAGGTTTAAAGTAAAAAAGAATGATAAATAAAAATAAAGGACGAACACAGAGGAATTGTGGAGAAACTTCCTTTTCTTTGATGAGAACAATGCATCCATAACATCGAAACCTAATTTCAAATTAAACTACTATTTTCATTCGAGTTCGTGGTGTTCTAACTACGTTCAAGAAATTAGTTAGTCGTGAGAGATTCGAGAATTCACACACTTGAACATAAGTGTACTATTCTTCTTACCGTAGTTGGATTCTCGAGCGCACTGGTTGCCCAGAGTTGCCTTTTGTACTTCTCTCGACCAGTGAATTTCCTAATTGGATCCTGCATTTCACGTTTGAACTAATTTTAATCATCTTCCTCCAATTTTGCAAAACAATTAGTAGATGAAATTAGCCAATATTAAGCAGAAAATTCGAGACCTTATACTTGACAAAGACTGCGAAATTTCCAAGAGATCGATCTCCTTGACGAAGTTGAAGAATGTCTTTAGCAAGTTGCCTGGCAGTGGATTCAACCAAGGGGCTACTAACGCACTCAAATTCGTTGCAGAGCTCACCGAAATCCATGCCGTCGACGATCTTATCGGCATCCGATCTTTCAACAGCGGATTCCGCCGTCAATTGATCGGTGCTGTTCGAATCATTCGCAGCGGCTGCAAAACAGAAATCCTAGCCCTATCAGAGACATTGAGAAATCGCGAAAAAAAGAAAGAAAAAGAGAAGGATTCGAAGAAAAATTGCAGGCCTCGTAGGGGAAAAGCATGGCGGGAATGAGGAGAAGGAACAGTGAACAGTGTGGCGGCGCCATGGTGGCTCTTGCGGCGGAAGACTGCGGCGGACACAGCTGCGGAGGCAGCGGCGAGAGAAGGAGAGGAAACGCAGGTACTCATCTCTCCGTCCCATTGTGATTCCAGCCATTACTTACTTGTGGTTTCAGTTTGAGTCTCTAACTGCTACTATTTTTTTTTTTTCATTTTCATTTTTTTTATTATTTATTTTTACAACCAATTTAAGTTTATATCTTATTTTATAAATTTGAGCCTAAATTAATAAATAAATAAATAATTCTAAACTTAAAAATACCATTAGATTTTAAAAAAAGTTTTAAAAGTACTATTTAATTTTAGTTAAAACCAATTAAAATTCCTATAAAAAAAATAGAATTTTCATTAATATTCTTAATTTTTTTTACAAAAAGTTAAAAAAAATATTTGTATAGAACGGACTTTAAACATCTCAAAAATATCTTTAATTTTCAAAAATGTTTTAAAATAGCTTTTAATTTTAGATGGAAAGGTTAATATTTTGTTTAAAAAATAACCCTAAACTTTATAGAGTGTTTCAAAAATATCCTTAAAATTTTTTATAAAATTTTAAAAATATTATTATAGTATATGAACGAAATTGTTTGTTAGTATCGAGTTTTAAAAATATCTTAAAATGGTAAAAGTAATATTAATTCCCTTAATTTTTAAAAAAATATATTTTTAGAGTTTGTATTTAGTAAAAAATTATTTATCTACATTTAATAAGCATCTTTTTATATATTTTTAAAATATGTAATATATATATATATATATATATATTAATTTGTAGTCTAAAATACAAGAAAGGTAAAAGTTAGAAGTTAAAATTGACCTTTTTGAATGAAATTATAATTTAAAATAATTTAAAATAATCTTTATTCTTCATCGCTCAAAATCGTGTGGATAAGGTGGTGAGGAGTGATTCTCTACGACCGAATTCAGAATGACAACAAAGAAAAGGACAGATGTAGAGAAGTTATTGGTTAGTGGCTTGTTATTGAATAAGATGGATCTAGAGCTGATTTGAACCAAATGGTTGTATTTGTGGTTGTGGGAGTGGGGATAATTATTATTTATTCTACAAAATTTTCAATTTTTTAGATTTTTTATTTTAAAGAGTTAGTTCATATGGATGTGTATTCATTAATTATTAATGAATGAAAAGCGCTTTTTTAATAATTAGTATTCTCTGACCTTACTAACTCTTATGGGTTAGTGTTGAGAATTGTTAGGAGGGAGTTCCACGTTGACTATTTTAAAGAATAATCATGGGCTTATAAGTAAGAATACATCTCCATTGGTACGAGACCTTTTGGAAAAGCCTAAAGTAAAGCCCCGAGAACTTAGGCTCAAAATGAACAATATCATACCATCAATAAAAATATACATTTTGAAAAAATAAGTAATTCAAAATAGTATTAAAATTAATGGTAATATTATTTTAAACAAATATATTTTTCTCATAAAAGAAACTACTTTCCATTTTCAAACAATACCCTCAAAGCATCCACTTATTCCACTTTGAAACCAGACATCTGAAGGGTATTAATGTACTTTCACACGTCCAAGAGAATGATCATTCCTTTTTATTAACTTCCCGTCACCATTAGATTATCCCTCAGCAGCCACGGAGAAATTTAGTTCGCCCACATTTACATTCCTACCCCCATAACTTACCTTTAACCCCTAATCAAAGAAGGGTATGCAAGTCTTTTCACATCCAACCCATTCTCAACCACAATCCACGTTTTATAAATGACCAAAACACCCCCAATACTTGCCGTAGCTCACCAAACTCTAAGGGTAAATTAGTATTTTCAATAACCTCCTCCCTCGACGTCTTGTTCCGCAGCATCGGGTCACCCTCTCCTCCGCCATTTCTGGAAACTTTTTGCGGTCTCTCTCTCTCTCTCTCTCTCTCTCTCTCTCTCTCTTCAATGGCTTTGCGTCTCCCTCTCACTCCGCCGTCGATCAGGCCCTCGACGTCGTTGCCTTGCGACGGAAAGCAACCGATTGCTTCTCTTTCGGACTCGAAGAGCGGCTGCTTCAGTTCAAAGAGCTTGAATGTTACTAGTCGCAGGAGCATTGGTGTTTCCGGTGGAAATCGCTCCTTCAAGGTCAATTCTAGCTTAGATATTGCCGGAGCTACCGTCGGCCAGGTCACCGAGGTCAACAAGGACACTTTCTGGCCCATCGTCAATGCTGCCGGCGATAAAACCGTTGTGCTCGATATGTACACCCAATGGTTTGTGCTTCTGCGTATCCTTAAGCCTATACTTCTCTTTGTGGTTTCTGTACTTACTATATGAGATTGTTGAGGAGTTATGGCTGCCATGATCTTGTGTTTGTATGTCATTTCTGGTTTTCTGATTTTCTGATCTTGGATGGAAATTAGGGAAGGAAGGCGATGCTTAGTTGTGGAGTTTAGATCTCCTAGTTTTAGGAATTGAAGGGAAACTTTGGTGTTTCTTAGGCGTCTGTTTGTCAAATGTTTCTGAAATTTATATAATTAATCCTTGCAATGAGTTTGACCTAGATTAAAAAATTAAGAATCAGAGGATGACGGGTTTTCCCTCTTCTTTTGAAGCAATAGTTAGGTCTAGAAAACTGGTTTTAGTTTTGGTTTGTGGAATTTTGAGTTCAAATCTCTGACTGGACTAGATTAAGCTTAATAGCTTGAATTTTTAGGATAATACTAAGATAAATTATTGAGGAGGTTGGTGGTTCTACATTGAGTTATTTTTGCAATCTAAGACCATGTTGGAACAATTTATAGTTCGGACAAGTTCAAGGCAATTCATAATGAGTATTCTTGTGTGAGATCTCACATCGGTTGGAGAGTAGGGAAAGTAGAACGAGACATTCTTGATAAGGGTGTGGAAACCTCTCTCTAGCCTACACATTTTAAAAACCTTGAGGGGAAGCCTGAAAAGGAAAGCCCAACGACGACAAATAGTTGCTAACGGTGGACTTGAACTGTTACAAATGGTATTAGAGTCGGACATTGGGCGATGTGCCAGCAAGGAGGCTAAGCCCTGAAGGGGGTGGACACAAGGCGGTGTGCCAGTAAGGACAATGAGCCTCAAAGGGGGTGGATTGGGAGGTCTCACGTCAATTTGAAAAGGGAACGAGTGCCAGCGAGAATGCTGGGCCTCGAAGGGGGGTG